TTCTGTCGATGACAGTATATCTGTGTTCCTTGGATATAATAACGGTGCTTTTGCAAGTAATAAGACGTATTCGACTGGTTTATATTCTGCTCCATACATGGTAGCGATCGGTGATTTTAACAACGATTATCACTCGGATATTGCTGTCGCATATTTCGGTACTAATAGCATCGGTATATTTCTTGGATTTGGAAACGGTTCTTTCATCAATAAAACAGTGATCTCAACTGGTTCATCCCGTCCACTTTGGATACATATAGTTGATCTCGATAATGACACCTCACTCGATATCGTTACAGCTAATTATGGAACTGATAGTATTAGCATATTTTATGGATCTGGAGATGAAAGTTTTTCATATCCGATCACATATTCAATGGGTTATGATTCTTCACCATTCTCGGTCATTGGTGCAGATTTTAACAATGATAATCATTTAGATCTTGCTATTACCAATTATGGTACAAATAATATAGCTATACTTATCGGAAACGGCAGCAGAACTTTTCTACATCAACAAGTATTTTCAACTGGAATTAATTCCCATCCATATTCGCTCACTGTTGATCATTTTAATGATGATAATTTATTAGATATTGCTGTCGCTAATCATGGAAATAACAGTGTGGGCGTATTTCTAGGCAATATCAACGGAATTTTTACTAGTCAAACATCGTACTCGCTTGATACTTCTTCACCATATTCTATTGGTCTTGGCGATTTTAACAAAGACAATCGACTTGATTTAATCGTTAGTAATAAAGGTACTAATAACATAGGTGTATTACTGGGGCTTGATAATGGCACTTTCTCTACACAAACAATGTATTCCACTGGTTCTGCTTCTTCAATCTCAGTTGCTGTAGCTGATTTCAATAAAGACAATCTACTAGATGTTATCATCATCAGCAATGATACTGGCAGTATAGGTATTCTCTTTGGTTATGATGAAGGCTTACAAACACAAATGATGTATTTAACTGGCTTTTATTCAAATTCTGTAGCTGTTGGTGATCTCAACAATGACACTCGACTGGATATCATCGTTGCTAATCGAGGTGACAACACTGTGAGTGTACTTCTCGGATATGGCAATGGTTTGTTTACAAATCAAGTTACGTATTCAACTGGTTTTTACCCATTTTCTGTAGCTGTTGGTGATTTCAATAATGACACTCGACTGGATATCGTCGTTGCTAATCGAGGTGACAACACTGTTAGTGTACTTCTCGGATATGGTAATGGTTCGTTTGCAGATCAAATGACTTATTCAACTGGCTCTGGACCATCTTCTGTAGCTGTTGGTGATTTCAACAATGATACTCTAGTGGATATCGTTGTTACTAATTCGGATGACAACACTGTGAGCGTACTTCTCGGATATGGTAATGGTTCTTTTGCAGATCAAATTACTTATTCAACTGGTTTTTATCCATTTTCTGTAGCTCTTGGTGACTTCAACAACGACACTCTACTAGATATCGTTGTTGGTAATTGGGCTGACAACACTGTAAGCGTACTTCTCGAATATGATAGTGGTTATTTTGCAAGTCAAATTACTTATTCAACTGGTTTTGCACCATCTTCTCTAGCGGTTGGTGATCTCAACAATGATGCTCGACCGGATATCGTCGTTGCTAATTGGGCTGACAACACTGTGAGCGTACTTCTCGGATATGGCAATGGTTCGTTTGCAAATCAAATTACTTATTCAACTGGCTTTGCACCATCTTCTGTAGCTGTTGGTGATTTCAACAACGACACTCTACTAGATATCGTTGTTGCTAATTTTTATGACAACACTGTAAGTGTATTTCTCGAATATGGCAATGGTTATTTTGCAAGTCAAAATAGATATTCAACTGGCGTTGGACCATCTTCTGTAGTTGTTGGTGATTTTGACAATGACACTCGACTGGATATCGCTGTTACCAATTCGGAGGACTATACTGTAAGTGTATTGCTTCATAATAGCAGAGGATCTCTACGTAATGAAATAGCATTTGCAGCTGGTGGTGGTTCTCGTCTACGATATATTACTGTCAATGATTTCAACAATGACACGATATTAGATCTTGCCGTCGTTAATTATGGCACTAATGATATAGGTATACTTCTCGGGAATGGTAATGGATCGTTTTTAGAGCAGAAAACCTTTCCGACAGGTTCAAATCCCGATTCACTTGCCATCGGTGATTTTAATAAAGATGGTCAACAAGATTTTGCTGTAGCTAATTATGGTTCTAAAAACATTGATATGCTTGTTGGAAATGGAAAGGGAGCATTTACACGACAAGTAACTGATGGATCTAGCTTGATTTTAGCTCCTATCGTTGTTACTGCTGGTGACTTCAACAATGATAGACAATCAGAAATTATTGTTGCATATGACAATACTGATAATATAGATATATTTGTTACATTTGATACTGGCGCCTTCACAAATCAAATTAAGTATTCAACTGGCACTTCTCCACATTCAGTAGCTGTTGGTAATTTCAACAATGACACTCGACTGGATATCATCGTTGCTAATCGAGGTGACAACACTGTTAGTGTATTTCTCGGATATGGTAATGGTTCTTTTGCAAATCAAATTACGTATTCAGCTGGCTCTGAGCCATCTTCTGTAGCTGTCGGTGATTTCAACAATGACACTCTACTAGATATCGTCGTTGCTAATCGAGGTGACAACACTGTTAGTGTACTTCTCGGATATGGTAATGGTTCGTTTGCAAATCAAGCTACGTATTCAACTGGCATCCATCCATGTTCTGTAACTATTGGTGATTTCAACAATGACACTCGGTTGGATATCGTCGTTGCTAATTTCAACTATGACACTCCACCGGGTATCGTTGTTACTAATTCGGATGACAGCACTGTAAGTGTACTTCTCGGATATGGTAATGGTTCATTTGCAGATCAAATTACTTATTCAGCTGGCTCCTATCCATCTTCTGTAGCTGTCGGTGATTTCAACAATGATACACTATTGGATATCGTCGTTGCTAGTGAATATGAAAGTGTTGTACGCGTACTTCTCGGATATGGCAATGGTTCTTTTGCAAATCAAACTACTTATTCAACTGACTTTGATCCATATTCTGTCGCTGTTGATGATTTCAACAATGACACTCAACTGGATATCGTCGTTGCTAATATAGGAAGCAACACTATAAGTGTACTTCTTGGATATGGCAATGGTTCGTTTGCAAATCAAATTACGTATTCAACTAGCTTTGGACCATCTTCTGTCGCTATTGGTGATTTCAACAATGACACTCGACTGGATATCGCCGTTGCTAATGCGTATAATAACACTGTAAGTATATTTCTTAGTTACATAAATAACGTTTTTCAATACCAAATGACATTGATAACTGGTAAGCAGTCTGTTCCGCGATCATTCGTCGTTGGCGATTTTAACAATGATACTTATATGGATATTGCTGTCGCAAATTCAGGCAGCAATAATCTTGGTATTTTTCTTGGGTTTGGTAATAGTTCTTTTGTAAATCAAACAACATTTGAAACAGGCTCTGGTCCATGGTCTTTAGCGGTTGCTGATTTAAACAACGATAGCCAATTAGATATTATTGTGAGTAATATTAATGATAGTAATATCAGTGTACTTCTCGGATGCGGCAACGGATTTTTTGCAAATCAAACAATATATTCAACTGGAATTAATGCTGAACCCTACTCAGTTGCCATTGGTGATTTTAATAATGACGCCTTATTAGATAT